AGGTTTTTGCCATCATAATAATTCAATTGTTACTCTGTTCATGACAAAGTAAGGCAAATTATTCTTTCTTAAATCTACTTAAAGAAAAACCTACTGATAGTTTTAGGCTAAGAAAAGCTGTCAATTAGATGAGAAATCACTTTTCTAAAGCTGAGCCTTATAGATGAAATATGAACATATTAGAGGAAAAAACGAACATATATAAAGATGTTTCTAGGAATAATATTTTCTAATGTCCGGTAAATGACATGATTCACACAGTTTCTTCATAACCTCGGAAAGCCTAAATCTTTGTCACATATAAAGAGCATTTAGATTATTTTGTTTTTACTGAAACTGTTTAAAGTAGAAATATCAATTCTGTATTTTAAGTGTGTTAATCTGGCAGCAAATTGAGATTAATTGAATGTTGGAGAAAAAGGCTATGAGACAAAATGCAGTCTTTCACACATGAATATAGGCACAAAATGATGGCTTGGAATCCAGAATGCCTTCCACATTTTATTTTGATAATTTCCTTTTTTTCCATACTATTTCATTCATTACATGTATTTTTCCCATTTCTGTTATCACACTCTGTTCCTACTTCTGTGAACTTTGTATTCTCTGCTCCATTTGAGCATTGTTCAGAAATCATTGAAATATTTGAGTTGTCAGAGCTATGTGTTTTGTGGGGGCTTCATTTCTAATCCAGTTCTCCTAATTCCACTATAGAAGTTACTTTTCAAGAAGTAAAAAAAAAAAAAAAAAAAGCAGTGCTTTACTTTCTTGATGTATTTCAGATTGGGAATCAAGATGGGAAAGCAAGGAATTATCAACAAAGAAGGATATTTATGATGAAGATTCACCCCAAACAGTAATAATAGAAAAAGTTGTAAAACAAAGTTATGAATTTTCAAATTCTAAGAAGAATTTGGAATATATAGAGAAGTTGGAAGGGAAGCATGGAAGTCAGGTAGAGCATTTCAGACCAGCAACTCTCACCTTTAGAGAAAGCCCCACTCCAGACAGTATTTACACCTTTCATTCAAAGTCTACTCTTTTTGAAACACAAAAAATTTCTGCTGAAGGGAATTCACACAAATATGCTATATTAAAGAAGAACTTACCAAAAAAGTCAGTTGTAAAAAATGAGAAAATCAGTGGTGGAAAGAAACTTTTGAATTCTAGTATAAGTGGGGCAGCCTTCCACCAGAGCAAATCTCTTACCCTTCACCAAACTTGTAATAGAGAGAAAATCTATATATGCAGTGAATGTGGGAAAGCCTTTGGCAAACAGTCAATCCTCAATCGCCATTGGAGAATTCACACAGGAGAGAAGCCCTATGAATGTCGTGAATGTGGGAAGACTTTTAGCCATGGCTCATCCCTTACACGACATCTGATAAGCCATAGTGGAGAGAAACCTTACAAATGTGTTGAATGTGGGAAGGCCTTTAGCCATGTGTCATCACTTACTAACCATCAGAGCACTCACACTGGAGAGAAACCATACGAATGTATGAACTGTGGAAAGTCTTTTAGTCGTGTGTCCCATCTTATTGAACATCTAAGAATTCATACGCAAGAAAAACTCTATGAGTGTCGTATATGTGGAAAGGCCTTCATTCATAGGTCATCTCTCATTCACCATCAGAAAATCCATACTGGAGAGAAGCCTTATGAATGTAGAGAATGTGGGAAAGCTTTTTGCTGTAGCTCACACCTTACTCGACATCAAAGAATTCACACTATGGAGAAACAATATGAATGCAACAAATGTCTCAAAGTCTTTAGTAGCCTCTCATTTCTTGTTCAGCATCAGAGTATTCATACTGAAGAAAAACCCTTTGAATGTCAGAAATGCAGGAAATCCTTCAACCAGCTTGAATCACTGAATATGCATTTGAGAAATCACATTAGATTGAAACCCTATGAATGCAGTATATGTGGGAAAGCCTTCAGTCATAGGTCATCCCTGCTTCAACATCACAGAATTCATACTGGAGAGAAACCCTATGAATGTATTAAATGTGGGAAAACCTTCAGCTGTAGTTCAAACCTTACTGTACATCAGAGAATTCATACTGGAGAAAAGCCATATAAATGTAATGAGTGTGGGAAAGCTTTTAGCAAAGGCTCAAATCTTACTGCCCATCAAAGAGTACATAATGGAGGGAAACCCAATAATGTGGTAAGTGTGGAAAAGCCTTTAGACCATATGAATCACTATACATGTGAGAAACCTTACAGAAGAGAAACCATATGAAGCAGTGTTTATCATGGTAATTTTCATTCCTAGATTCTCCCTTATTTAACATTAGAAAAATTTATACTGGGGAAAGTCGTATGAATGTGGTGACTGTAGGAAGACTTTTTAGCAAAGATGTAGGCCTGTTTGTTTATCAGACGTTATACTGTAGGGAAATCATATGAAGACCATACATGTGGGAAAATCTTTGTCAGTGTTAATCCCTTAATTGACATAAGTGTACTCACACTAGGAAAAAAACCCTGTACATGTAGCAAATGTGGGAAAGACTAGGCAATAGGAATCTTTTACAAACTCCTACAGGAGAGAAGCTGTATGAATGTAGAAAATTTAGAAATTGAGGGAAGTCTTCAGTTCCAAGTGTATCCCTTATTCTACAGCAGAGAACTCAAAATGGAGAGAAATCTCATTTAAGAGATGTAGCAAAGTGTTCACTAAGAGTGTTTTATCTTGCTACACATCAGAAGATTAATGGTAGAACAACCTGAAGGATTTAGGAATTATGTGTAAATCTTTGCAGTCATGCTATTTGTAAACTGGATTCTACAGGAGAGCAAATAAACATTATAATATGCATTTCTTAGAGCAGTAGCTTTCAGTTTCAGTTGAGTTATACTTAGAAATTCTTTTTAGCTAGTGGACATGTGAAGATATTTAGTCACCCAGAGGAGCCAGTGTTATAATGTTGAAAATTAAAGCTGCAAAAGAAATAAAGTGATGTTAATAAAAGTTTTGGCATCTAATAAAATCATTTTGTATACCACAAACTCTTTTACTGTGACTATTTCTTGTAAAAAAATTTCACTAAGATTAGCCTTAGCATAGCCTTTAGTTGGAGACTAGCAAACCTAGAGAAAAATCACCTGCTCTTTGTACTAAGAATAGCAGTATTTTGGGCCGGGCGCGGTGGCTCAAGCCTGTAATCCCAGCACTTTGGGAGGCCGAGACGGGTGGATCACGAGGTCGAGATCGAGACCATCCTGGCTAATATGGTGAAACCCCGTCTCTACTAAAAATACAAAAAACTAGCCGGGCGAGGTGGTGGGCGCCTGTAGTCCCAGCTACTGGGGAGGCTGAGGCAGGAGAATGGCGTAAACCCGGGAGGCAGAGCTTGCAGTGAGCTGAGATCCGGCCACTGCACTCCAGCCTGGGCAACAGAGCAAGACTCCATCTCAAAAAAAAAAAAAAATAGTATTTTGATGAGGATTATTCAGAGTCAATTTCCAGTAGGCTTAATTAAATACATTTCAAGAAAATTTACTGAGCATCACTCATGTGTATTACACAGGGATGGAATACAGGAATTCAGTAGTTCTGAGCTTAGTGATGTGTCAAAATCACTAGGAGGGTTTATTAAAGCACAGATTGCTAAGTCTGAATCTTAGAGTTTCTGTATGAGTTGATTTGAATTTGCATTTTTCATGTGTTCTCGCCGTCCAGAAAGCACATTTTGATAAGCATTGTAATAATGAACAAAACAAATGTGATCTTTTTCTCACAGGGATGTTATCTGACAAGAAAGATGGATAGCAAGTAAATTTGAAATAATTGTTTACAAGTGCTATGAGGACATAACCAAGAAACAACATACTATAAGAGATCAGAGCAGGCTTAGCTGGATGTGATTTTTGAAATGAATCCTAAATGATGAACACTAATTATGTAATGAGTACTACTCATGTAGCTATGTGCATCCCTGCTTGTGCCTTTGCATGTGTGTATGTGGTGTACTGGGTGTTATTCTAGGTAAAGTGGACAGTCGAATTCTGTCATGCTTGCTGCAGCTGGACTCCATGTTCCCATGTCTAGTTTCAGATTCTGTGGCTTTGAGGTAGTACTGCTGGCAGCATCATTGGTTTCAGCAACCATTATTTCTCTATCCCTGGATCATAGTTATGGGAGTTTACGTTGAAGTCACTAGTCCAGAAGTGTTCTCATTACTTTTACAGCCTACCTACCAATTTTGAAAGCACTAATTTACAGCAATATATGCCTTGAAATAGTTAAGAGAGTTTTTGTTCTGTGCACTGAACCTTGACAGACAATTATGGTTTGTAAGGAGGGAGGATGGCTTCAGATATTCTAACTTCTAGATAAGAAATGGAACAGTCTCACTGGCCCTGTGATTAGAATCCTATCTTGTGATTAAAAAGGTAATACAGATCAATTTGATTTGGAGTGTATGGACACTGATGCAAGTGAAGGGCTGTGATATGGATTGTGCTTCAGATTTTGTTCTATATCTTGGGTGAGTAGTAAGATACGTTGTTGTTTTAAAAAGGAACATTATAGATAAAATTCTGGTGTGGAATGAGTGATAAGGTTTCTGACTTGCAACAAAATATATCTCCTCTGATATATGTGCGACCTTAACTGAAAGCCAAAGCACAGAGGCATATCCCAATAGCAATTTGCAACAGAAAGTAGGTTTGGAATGGGGTGGTAAATTTTTACTATTTTGCAGGGATTTTATCTTTCATTTGATTTATTTTTAATCATGAAATTTATATTGAAATTCTGTGGAACATTGAAGGATCTTTGGAAGATTTATAATTAAGGAAGGGCCAGATGTAGTGGCTCATGTCTGTATTCCCAGCACTTTGGGAGGCAGAGGCAAGAGGATTGCTTGAGGCCAGGAGTTCGAGACCAGCCTGGGCAACACAGCAAAACTCATTAGTCTGTTTAAAAAAAAAAAAAAAAATTACCCAGGTGTAGGCACACACCTGCAGTCCTAGCTTTTCAGGAGGCTGAGTGGGGAGGGACTGCTTGAGTACAGGAGTTTTAAGGTCACAGTGAGCTGTCATCACACCACTGCTTTCCAGCCTGGACAGAAGAACAACACAAGAAGAACAACGTCATGCTTAAGGAAGCATGACGTGGTATCAAACAGTTGTGTATGGATAGACTGGCTACCACATATATACTTATGGGATAATGAGAGTAGCTTTCTTTTCTCCCATTCTGTGTCCTTTCTCTGCTCTCCCAAGCAACTGGTACCACAAAGATGAAGTAGCCCTATAATGCCCAGATTTTGTTTCCACTACACGTAGTTTACTGCTACCATGTCACTTTGTTATGAGAGGATTCATCGAAATACCTGTGCTTTGTCATTTAAAAAGCATGAGCATACATATGATAATGCTTTACATTTCTGGATTTAAAGTGCCTTCACAATACAGAACTAGGAAAAAGAAGGCCATCTTTTTAAATGAAGATGGTTTTAAGAAAGCAATAAGAGACTTACTTTGCTATGATAGAAAGTTTGGCTGATGTCATGATGATGTTATGATGTCGCTGACATTGTTTCCTCAGTTATACCTATTAACCATTTCTTGAGCATCCACTGTGGGCCTAATAGATAAGAAACACTCCATATCCTTTAAGAGCCCCAAGGTGTGTGTGTGTGTGAAGAGCATTAAGCTTTGGAGTCATGCTACCTGGGTTTAAATCCAAGTTGCGTGTATACTGGCTTTGTGTGACCTTGGACAAACTATTTCACTGTGTCATGCCTCAGTTTCTCCATCTGTAAAATGGTAATAAAGCTATCTCACAGCATTATTATGAAGATTAAATGTATCAATTGGTGCAAAGTGTTTATAACAGTGCCTGGCCTCTCAATAGCATTCAATATGTATTAGCTGTTGATTTCATCATCATTGTCTTCTCATGGTTGCTTCATCATTCTGGTCTCAAATGTCACATCTAATCACTTGTCATTCTTACATGTTTGCTGTTTAACATTTTTAGGGGAGAGCTCTTACAAAACCCCCTGGTTTCCTTCCAACAAATTCTTGAGTATCTGAGCCATTTTGAGGGAGAGAATGTTTCTTGCCCTAAATAATCTGAGGAGAAACAAAGAGACCAGGTAGGAGATGAGATGGGAACCTAGCAGGTCTATGGGAAGGAAGGAGGGTGCCCTACAGATTTGGAAAATGGGCCGAGTGAAGGAGGCATCAGGCTTCCACATGAAGGAAAGGGGAGGCTTTACCGAGAGACCAGAAGCCTACAGTTCTTTATCATCATCTCTCAATACAGAGTCCTGTGGGCTGGGTGCCACTGTTCTCACTCTTCCTAAATGGAGGTTACAGCCTGTCATTGAAGGTCACTGATGCCTGGAAAGTCAAACAGTTTCCTTGTTAGCCTTGGGCCAGTCAGATGTGATTAGAGCTCAGTTGTTGGTAAACACCTAGAAAGAAGCAAGGCACATATCACTGAGCACTTCCTGGGAACTTAATTTTTTGCTGCTGAGGGGGAGTCAGTCTTTAAACAAATTGCAATTGTGTTAGAGAAAAAAGCTTTATATGCAGAAGTAATTGATGCAAGAAATAAGACAATGACAAGGCCATATGGCCCGAGAGGTGCAGAGTGTAAGCACTCTGGCATGAAAGATAAATAGGGAAAAATTAAAATGATCATAACACAATATTGTTAATAGCAGCATAAACTGAGCATTGTGTTTGCACTATGTGCTGCATTGAGACAATTAAATGTTCTCAGCTCTGGACCCAAATTCCTAAGTGTATTGGGACTGTCACTTGCTTACTCTATAAACTTGGGAAAGTCACTTCATTTCCTGATTTTTCCATCAAAACAAAAATAATTCCCATCTTACCAGGTGGTTGTGAGAATTAAAAGACTTACAAAGCAAGCAACAAAGTGCCTCTACATGGAAGTTTGTTGCTGTGGTTTTCCTGCTTTTAATAGTCTTCCCATATACTGTAAAGTAAATGCTGTAATTATGTTCATGCTAGTGACCTGAGCTCAGAGTCACACATCTTAGGAATATAGGCTAAATTTGAACATTCAGTAAAAGACCACACCATACTGCCCTCCTAGGACAGATCTCAGAAACGGGTTTCTTTTGGCAAATAAACAGGCTCTCTTGCCTCCTTGAACAAAAAATGTTGCCTTTGGCCATGCTGTTCCTTCTGCCTAGAATATGTCCCATACCCCATTTATTACCATGCTTGCCTGCCGAGGGAGGCCTGCCGACCTTGCAAAGCTCACTAGGTGTGTCAAAGATGAACAAAGCTGGACATTAATGACGGTGGTGAGAACAGACTTTAATTGGTAGTAACTATTGCAATGGGGAAAGGAATTTGGCATGAACTGAACCCAGCTTTGATTTGTACAGAGGTGAATGAGTATGTTAAAGGGAGGGTGAGGAAATAGGGAGGGAGTGGAGAACGGGCTCAGTAGAGTCAGAAAACTGAAAAATTACAAAACACAGGAAGGGAGGGGGCTGATCTGTGTGCAGTCTATCTGGGTTTGCTACTGGCACTTTGAGGCTCCTATCCTCCCACAGAGGCTGGGAGACAAGGGCCTTATCTTCAGTGTTGGCTGGAAGAAATTCTGTGGACAGCTTTGAGTTTTTCAGGCTGGCACTTTAACAGTCATTAGAAAGTGTTAGTGTTGTTCAAGTCTTAATAGGCAAAAGTTGACAGGCCTATTGAAGAAGGCTCAGAGGGGCCTGGCTAGAGTTTGGTCAAAGAAAGAGAAATCTTTGTCAGGTGTCACCTTAGGCTTCCCCAACCCACTGAGGAAGAATGGAGGTGAAGAAGAAAGAACATAGCCTCAAGGGATCAACATACAGGGTGTGAGTTTCTGCCAAGAGTTGTGTGACCCTGAGAAGGTAACTTAAGTTATCCAAACCTCAGGTTCCTTTTCTGTAAAGCAGGAATAATAGAACCTAACTCTGAGGAAACTGGGATTAAATGAACTGTTACATAACCAGGTACCCTCAGAGCTCAATAAATGTAGCTATTATTATTATTTAGCCTCTTTGCTTCCACACCACCCTGGAAAACCCAAACAAGTCCTGATCTCTACTTTTGTAAGTGTGTCACATTCCCTGCACAAAGATTCCAGAAGATGAGAAATACTTAATCTAGAACTAGCAAGGCCAAAGGGGGAGGAGGGGGAAGACTCTCCTAGTAGGTGACATTTGTGCAGAACAGGGAAGGATGCAAGGGAGGAGAGGAGAGGGAGAGGCACTGCGGTGATCTGGACTCAGTGTCACAGGCAGAGAGAAACCCTGGGAAGTGGGAAGGAGCTTAGAATGATCAGCACAGCTTGGCAGGAGAGCAGTAAGCAAAGGAAGATGGAGTAGAGGACAGATTTATAGGCCTAAGGATGTATCTCCCTAGAAATAGCATCTAGAGGGATGTTCCTTGCACAATGTTGGGCACTGGGAACACACATCACACATTTAGCCATCTCTGATACTCTCATCTAGAATTAAGATGGTTAATATTTCCCCTTTAAGCCTTCCTTGAGGAAAATGGAGGTGAAGGGTAGCAAGGTAGCTTGCACAAGGCCACAGCCCTGAGATAGGGCACAGCATGATCCAATCATGTCTCTGGATTCTGTAGGCCATGCTCTCCTGAGGATCTGCACATGCCACTGTACATGAATGGGGGATACTAAGAAGTTATAGTTCATACTTCTCCACTACATACCACCGATTGCCAGAAAGAGGAACTTTCTCTTGTAATACCTCATGTAAGTCTAGGACTCTGGACTGAGAGTGACCCTATCAGCAGGAAGAGAAGGCCTGAAGAATCCCAGGATGCCACGATCCTCCATGTCAGTGTGCCACAGCCATGTGGCTGAGGGTCCAAGAATATGAGGGTAGTTAACACACCTGTGCTAGGACGGAGGTGATGGCATCAGTACTTCAGACTCAGCTGAACTCTCTCGCAGGCCCTACAAAGGTGTCTAGATGGATCCTATCCTCCTTACTGGCCTTCCTAGCTTGGTCCCAAAGAGCCACCTGCTCCCCCAGGGTGGTGTGGTCAGACAGGTCATGTGACAAATGAAAGTCCACCATAGCAGTGCCAATAATGCAACCCATAATAATGCAGGCTGCAGGAAGCACTTCTGTCCTAGGGTCTCACTTGGGCATATGAAGCACATCCTTCTAGGTAATGTAGCTTTTCACATTCTTTGAGGCAATGGCTAAGTAGCACCCAGAAGACCACTAGGAAGGAGCATCAAAAGACTCATGAAGAGAGTGGTACTTCATTTCTTAAAGGTGAGTACCCAGTTTTCCATATTTTACTGTCTGCAACAGATCACATAAATATTTAGAGAGAGATTATTTCAGATACTATGAAATACTACAAAACCAAATATGTGGAGTATGATTTCAGGGAAAATGACCAAATAGAAAGTGCTACAAATCTGCTACTATACCTGAAAAACTATTCTGGCATCTCTCTGAAGTGACAATTTTGGAACTCCAGAGTTTCTTTGAATGCTTGTAATTTCCAGCTTGCCTAATAAATTACAATTTGTGTTGATTGCAGCCATCAGAGTGGTATTGTCTACACATTCCTCACTCCCAGCTCCATGGCAAGCAGCTTTGTGGATGGGAATGTCATTCTGGTGCAGATTTCTGGAGCCAGGGTGGGCAATAAGTACCTTATCCCACAGGTACTGAGGTTCTGTGTTCTTACTGTGGATTGGTGCTTCTGATCTTGTGGGCTTGTAGGCTAGTCATCATTGTTTCAACCCCTACTGGATGAAGTGACTCTCACGAGATATAAAAGAATTGCACCTATTTTTTTGTGTCTGTTCAAAAATAACTACATATATGGAAGAATTCAGAAAGCCACCTCACATGCCCAAGGAAAGATACAAGCACTGAAAAGACTTTCTTCAGCTTTCACTTTAGGCTGATCTCTGGCACATAGTTATCCCATAATAATAAAAACAAAGGCAAAAATGCAGCAAATCCAGGGAAAGGTGGGGGGAAATATTATTTCCAGAGTTATCACATGGTAAGATTCAAATGTCCAGTTTTCTACAACAACAAAAAAAAACCTGAAGGCATGCCAAAAAACAGAAAAGTATGGCCCAATTAAAGGAACAAAATGAATGGAGACAAAAAATACTTGAGGAAACCCAGATGTCAGTCTCACTAGAAAAAGACAACTGTCTTAAAGATGCTTAAAAAGCTAAAGACATGAACAAAGGAAAAAGATGTATGAGCAAACTAAGGATAGAACTAAAGAGAGAAAATTATTTTAAAAAAAACTAAAAAGAAATTCTGGATCAAAATTTACAGTAATGGAAACAAAAAATATGAATACAACAAAGGGATTAAAAAGACATGCAATCAGAGGAGAGATTCAGCAAACTTAAAAATAGGAAAATATAAATTATCAATATAAAAAAGAATGAGGAAGAGTGAACATAGCTTATTGGAACTTTAACACAACAACAATTTGGGAATCCCTGAAGGGGAAGAGAAAGAAAGAGGCAGAGAAAATATTTGAAGACATAATGGCTGAAAAATCTCCAGATTTGATAAAAGACATGAATTTGCAAATCCAGCAAGAGCTCACCATGAATGAACTCTTAAGTAGGAGAATTGCAAAGAGACCCACACTGAGATACATCATCAAATGTCAAAAGCCAAAGACAGATAAATCTTGAAAATAGGAAGAGAGAAGCAACTCCTCTCATACAGGGGATCCTCAAGACTATTAACCAGTGTCTCATCAGACCTTGGAAGCTAGAAGGAAGTGGGTCAATAAACGTAAAGGGTGAAGAAAAAAAAGCTGTCAATAGAGAAGTTTATATTCAGCAAAATGTTCTTGAAAAAATATGTAGAAATTCACATATTTCCAGATAAACAAAAGTGGAAGGAGTTATCACTAGACCTGCTCTGCAAAAAAAAAAAAAAAAAAAAAAAGTAAAGGAAGTCTATCAGGTTGAAATTAAAAGAAGCTAAAATGTACCCAATGACAAAACTCCATGGACATAATCAGTACTGGAGTTCAAATAACATTTATACTGGGGGATCCCATTAAATTTAAGCATTGTGCCTCTCCTATAATCTTGAAGTCACTATATATAAAATAGAGAAAAAGTAGCAATGCCTCACTTTAAATGTAGCCTTGCCTATATTTCCCAAGTCATAATACCCATTGCCCTAAAATATCCCATATTGGAGCATAGATGCTCTAACATAAATAATAAATTAAGGTAGGTCTTTTACAAACTGGCTTGATAAAATGGGACCCCATGAATACCCAGTTAAAATAGTTAATCTGGTCCAATATAGGGTACAACAGGGCCTTCAAGAGTTAAAACCTAATTAATAAAAAGGCAGTTACCCCAACTGCTTTTCTATTTGATATCCCAATCTTGCCAGTTAAACCTGGGGGATAAAAAAGGTAAAGTGCCTCATGGTGTATTACTACAACCTTAATGTGTTCCCACCAATTAGGCTCCCCATATAAAATAGCTAATATTATTAAAATTACTGATTCTATTAAATCAATAACCAGCTCTTATAGATTTGGAGAATGTGTTCTGTTCCAGGCCTATTTCAATAGTCTGTCAACTACAGTTCACCTTCATTTCTGAAGGGACATAATCCTCCTGTTTCAGGCTACCTGTGGGGTACTTCAGCAGCTCTGCCATCACACACATTCTTTGCAAGATAGATCATAGCTGCATCCATTTTTCTCCAGGAGCACGGGGCGGAAGGCTGGATTGAGGGTGCTTATTTCCCTTGGACTCAGTGACCATAGAGACTGTCCCATGGTTCAGGCAGCTACTCATCTGCTATGGCACCCATTTGAGCCTAGACTTCCACAAAGAAAAACAGAAGATCTGTTAAGTGCACTGCACACCATTCTGGTAACTATTGGTCTCCTTACTGCTGGTTGGGATGATTCACTGGTTTTCAATTCAGAGGTCTAAACTCCCCAAATAAGCCTCAACCAAACATGGCAAATGCTGAGTTGCACATCACCCTGACAGGGTACCCATTTAAAAAGGACACCCAAGTTCCATATCTCAGATGATTTCACCCTTGCCCAGAAGCTCACTGCTGGAGATGACATTGTCCCAGCCCATGTCTTTGCCATTGTAGATGACTTTACCTCTTGTGCCAGGGACAGCTTCACCCCAGATATGAAAACCTCTGTCCCCGTGGTGCCTATGGAGTGCCTCTCCTAAGGCATGCATTAAACATGGGATATTTATGCTTTTCTCCCTTGGATGTTAAAGGTTCTACTATGTTTCTGAACTTGCTGTCTGTCTAACCTATGATTCTGGTATATTCCTTGCTCTCTGCCAAAATGTACACCCTACACTTCCATGTCTAACAGTAAATCTAGTAGAGGTTACTACTATCTATGCCATTCTAAAAATTAGTGGAAATTATTACTTTCCTCAGGAGGCATCTGCCTCAAATCAGTCAACCCCTTCTCCCCCTAGAAAGAGTACAGTTTACTCCCCGATGCCTTTTCCTACTCTCGCCCTGTATCTCCTACTATGATCACTCTTTCCCCTTGATCACACACAAATACCACTAACCTTTACATATACCTTACTATCATTTCATACCCTCCAACATTACAACTGCCAAACCTGTCACTTTGACCTGAACGTGTTTCTAATGCACTTAAAACACTACCAAGATATTGTTAGTGACCCTAAAGATTTCAGAACTACTGTCTTGAATAATGCCATATAAATAAATAAACTCCCAAAGCGCTATTTGCTTAAATCCACCACCTGCCTTCATCCTCACCAGGGATGACTACATGTTATGACCAAGTCAACCTATGGGCTTACTATTTGTGCCCAGGAGCCAGCCACCAGTGGCCAATTCCCTACCCTGAGGCCTTCACCCTCCTTACAGTATTCTCATGGGTACAGTACACTCTGAATAATGGCACATTTGGGTTTTTTGGTGCCTCGAAATCACAGGCACAGCACCTTATGTATTTTTCCTTGCCAATCACCCTGCATGTTTTCCCTGATAAAATCTGGTAAACAGTGGTTACACTGGGGATTGCCATGGTTCAAAGACACAAGGCAAAATGGGCAGTGTTTATCCCTATCTTAATAGGACTTGCCATAGGCACAGGACCCACCATTGCTGACACCAATACAGCAGCCTTTGTCGAATAAGATCATAACTGCCAAGCAGCATCATTAGGTGGCCCTTTCAGATCATATTCAAAGGCTGTACAAAGTACTGTCCTTAATACAACAAGCCTATTAGTCTCTAGCTCAAATGGCAATAGATAACAGGCTGGCTCTTGACTATTAGCCAGGGAAGGAGGAGTTTGTGCCATTCAGGATACCTCCTACTGTATGTACATTAATAACTCTGGACAGGTACAGGCCAACTATGAGGAATAGGTCAAGAGGTAAAGGTTTTTCATGACTTAGCCAAATATTCCAACAGATTCCCTTAATCCAAGGGTGCCTGGCCTGTTCTCTTGGCTTTCTTCCACAAAGTGGGATGCCTCGTTACAAACTGGATACCAAACCCTCATCATATGCCTAATAGAACTCTTCTGAACTGTTACTTTTATTAAAGTTCACCTTCAGTGGCTAAGTCATGTTGTCCCGGGCACCTTTAACATCTCCGCAACCCACGTGGCAAGTGTTATCCATCTGATTAGTATTGTAATGATGTTGAGGGACCACAGGGCAAACTGTAATGTAAATTTTAAAGCACTGTACTTTCCTGCTGCCTTGGTATTCCCATAAACAGGCTGTGAGCCCCCAGCCAGCTATACCAGTGTGATTAGGCTGGCCCTGCCACAAGTTCTGTTGTGCTGTTTGTGTACTCCATCCTGGCTGCCAATAAAGGCACTTCCGCATAGGTCTTCATTCTCTTGGCTCCCTAACAGCTCAGTTTAGCCAGCCTCCCTGATGCTGTCAGTGCCCCCTTGGTTCCCTTGGTGTGCAATGACTCTCTCTAGGACCTGTTAGTATTATAAACTTTGTTCTTTGACAACCCTCTCATGTGTTTCCTCCTTTGCCTACACCTGACTGACAGTCCTATGAGCACACAATTTAAATAGTTCTAACAACACAGGAATCATGCAAAATATTCAATCCAAAGGCAGGAGTGGGGTCAGGGGAGAAAATAAAGAGTACAGATTAAACAAAGAGAAAAACCAATAGCAAAATGATAAATTGAAACCCAGCAATCACACTAAATTAAATGAGCTAATTAAAAGGCAGAGATGTTCAAAGTAGATAAAATGCAAGATCCAATAATGTTTCATACAAGAAAACATTTTCAATATAATGACAAAAATTATTTAAAACTGAAAGGACATGGTTGGGCATGGTGGCTCATGCCTGTAATTCCAGCACTTTGGGAGGCCAAGACAGGCGGATCACCTGAGGTCGGGAGTTCAAGACCAGCCTGACCAACATGGAGCAACCCTATCTCTACTAAAAATATAAAATTAGCTGGGTGTAGTGATGGGCACCCATAATCCCAGGTACTTGGGAGGCTGAGGCAGGAGAATCGCTTGAACCTGGGAGGTGGAGGTTGCGGTGAGCCGAGATTGTGCCATTGCACTCCAGCCTGGGCAACAAAAGCAAAACTCCATCTCAAAAAAAAAAAAAAAAAAAAATCAAAGGACACAGATACACCATTGTAATAGTAAGCAAAAGAGCACTAGAGAGGCTGTATTAATATCACACACAGTTAACTTCAGAACAAAGACTATTACCTAAATATTTATATACCTAATAAAAGAACTTAAAAATGATAGATATGCAAAGAGAAATAGACAAATCCATAATTACAGTAGTTTTTTTTTAAAAAAAGAAAACACCATTCTCTACATAAGTGACAGAACAAGTAGAAAATCAGGACTCAGAAGACATGAGCAACACTCTCAACTATTTGACTTACTTGACATTTATAGAAGACTCCACCCAACAAGATCAGAATGCACATTATTTTCAGTAATAATGTGTAAACATTCCTCCAAGATAGACCACATTCTGGATCATAAAACAAACCTCAATAAATAGAAAAGGGTTCAAGTCATGCAACGTATGTTCTCAGACCATAATCAAACTTCATAGATCAAAAAAGAAAAGGGAAATTAAAAATTATTAGAACTGATTGAAAATTATGTCAGAATTTATGGAATGCTACTAAACCATATTTGGAGTGAAATTTATAGCATTAAAGGCCTATATTAGAAAAAGAATGAAAGGTCTCAAATGAATGACTTCAGCTTTAGAAGGTTGAGAAATTCTGACCCAAGTGTAAAACATACAACTGTTAAATTTTTAGAAAAAAGGAAAAAAAAATATTTTGTGTATCTGCTAAAATTGTCCCATGACTTCACATAACAATTAGAATTAAATCAAAATTTCATGGTGCCCTGTCTGTGCATATGGCCTGCTACTCCACTCCATCATTAATTTCTATTCTCCCTGTCAAGCCACACTACCATCGAGCTGTATCCTCAAGCTCTTGCCACCCTTGAGGTCTTAGATATGTGGTTCTCTCTTCTGGGCTCCTGCATGCTTCCTGGGTCTGCATATCACCTAACATACTGTACATTCATTTTCCCATGTGTTTAATGTCCACCTTCCTTCTCTTACAGAGAGTAACACAGCTCCACGGAGAAGTGCATGACCAAGGTCACCCAATGGGTCATGAAAACACCGAATGATCTGAAATTACAATCTATCATCTAGGCTCTTAGCCACCAGGTCACTTTGCGGGAGGATGAGGTCTTCAGCTCTTTCCAGTGAGTACAAAACTAAACTGCTGTCTGTATATATGAATGTGAATTCTGTATTTGAGAATTCACCTACTGAAATTTTGTTATAACTCTCAAATCAATACTTTGAGGTTTTTGCATTTTTGCAGTCATTTGCAGATTATGTGCAGAGTGATGAAAAAAATGATTCATCAAGCCTGCATGTCACCAGCTGAGGTCAAAGGTGATGCTTACTTTCTTGTTTTGGCATTCATAATATAGTGTCATTTTCAGTCATTTAGTGCACAATGGCTCACGCCTGTAATCCCAGCACTTTGGGAGGCTGAGGTGGGTGAATCACTTGAGGTCAGGAGTTTGAGACCAACCACATGGTGAAACCCCGTGTCTACTAAAAATACAAAAATTAGCCAGGTGTGGTCGCAGGCACCTGTAATCCCAGGTACTTGGGAAGCTGAGGCAGCAGAATCGCTTGAATGGGTGGAGGTTGCAGTGAGCCAAGATCACACCATTGCACTCAGCCTGGGCAAGAACAGTGAAACTCTGTTTCAAAAAAAAAAAAAAGATTCATTCAGTCATGAGTTATATGCTGTTGTCTGTGAGTTCAATGTTTACAAATCAACAATACAATACAACCAGAAATAGGAGGAAATTCACCTGTCTGTACATGAGGCAGCTCCTAGAAGTATAAAAAGGAACATCTAAAATGCATGATGAAGTTATAGAAAACATGAAAAAAAGGCTAAATTTATGGGTGAATCAGATGATGACCAATAAAAAATAGAGGACAGCATTATTATGAGGCTTAAAGCCAAAGAAATTTATGGTCATGACACCTAAGTAAGGAAAATGCTAACCCTGCTTAGCTAGTGCTGGCTACTCACACATTTCCAAAGGCACTACAACATAAAAGGTATTAAACTTGCAGGCAAATTCTTCTGAGGGCTGTAGAAGAATTTAAATAATATCCACTAAATGTTATCCAGGAAAAGGGTTATGAGAAAAGACAGGTTTCAACACTGATGAGAGTGGCTTGTTTTAGAAGGCAATGAATCTATATAGCACAAATGGCCTCCAAAGTCCCTTACTTTAAATCAAAGATCCTGCAACCTTGCTACTGTGCATCAGTACCAATGGTAACTATAAGTGCAAACCACTAATGGTGTACAGAACCCCAAATCCATAGGAACTTAAAGAGAAAAACCTGAGCCATATTCCAGTCCACTGTAGGTGGAAAGAAAAGCATGGGTGACTTCCGAAATATTCTGGGATTGGTTTTACAACTGCTTCATCCAAGAAGTTGAATGCTATCTCCAAGGCAAAAACTTTGCCTTCTAAGTTTAATTACTTTGAAATAATGCTCCAGTTCATTGCCATAAAGAACCTGAAAATTCCCACTGCAACCTAGATATAATTTTTATGGCCACGAACACATCTGTCATACAACCCTTCAATCAGAGCGTACTTAAAAGCTTTCAAGGTGCACAACATGAAGGACCTTTATAGCAAGGCTTGTGAGGCTCTCAACAAGGAAACCACGATTTTGGACTACTGGAAGCCAGTCACTGTAAGCAACGTTATTGAGGCATCAAAGTCAGTGATGATTAAAGATTGTGATGAAGGTCAGCCTAAGATTCCAAGAATTGTCCTTACAGCAGCAAAAATATCAAACTGAAATCCTGCCTTGGAAACATTTTCAATTACATGGAAGAATATGACCCTATACCCGAATGTAGCCTCAAATTTAAGCCCCTAACCTCCACTGCACTCCTTTATACTGGGACACTCAGGTGGGGCCGGGCACAGTGGCTCATGCCTGTAATCCCAACACTTTGGAGGCTGAGGAAGGAGGATCACTTGAGTCCAGGAGTTTGAGACCACCCTGCGCAATATAGTGAAACCCCCACCTCTACAAAAAACAAATGAGCTGGGCATTATGGCACATACCTGTGATCCCAGCTACTCAGGAAGCTCAGTTGGGAGGATTGCTTCAGCCCAGGAGGCAAGGCTGCAGTCAGCTGTGATCACTCCACTGCACTCTAGCCTGGGCAACAGAGTGAGACCCTGTCTCAAAAAAAGATAAAAACACTTTAGGTGAAAAGCCAGACAAGGCTGATGCAATTTTTCATGCCAGTTCAGGAGGGAAAACTGCTGATGCTGTCAACAAGTGGCAAAAGTCAAACTCCTGAAGTAAAAATTGCCAGATGTTGATATGGCACCCTCAGAAATGCCTTCCTCTTCTGCAGAGTAAGTTGCATCAACCTCTTCCTTAGTTTTCTGGGGGTAAGTCAAAGTCAAGAAGTTTAACCATACAGTGCGCTGTCCCATCTTGCAGCTCCATCAAAAGTACATTTTTAATCTTTTTTTTAATCTTTAATGTTTTTCCCCCAGGACTATCTTTATTGGCATGACTGTACTGTATCATATAGGTGTTCACAGTACCATTTACCATATGAGTACTGTACAGTTTACTATGTTTATTGTATATGAATACTGTATATGTGTACTGTGTGTACATAATTAAGAGGTAAAGCAGTATAATATACTGAGTACATTACACAAACATGCTATAATTAAAATATTTTTATTATAAAGAATAGTAATTATAATTATTCAAGAAACACTGATAAGGTGTCTTTAAACAAACAGACAAACAAACAAACAAATACCCATAGAAGAAAGTTATATGTTGACTGCTTGATAAAAATGTTTGGATCCAAGGCTTATAGAAGCTAATCCTGTATTTCCTCTAGCAACAATCATTCAGCATTCACTAATTCAGTGTGCACAGAAAATTCACAGAACCTAACTACCACGAGTAACAATTCACTGCATATATATATATAAATGAATGTGTGTACATGTGCACATGTGTTACATATTTCATGACTCAAGCCTTTATATTTCTCACAAAGACTTACACTCCCTCAAGGGTAGAGATGGCAGTTTTGGAACAATGAATACTTCTAATAAATGTTGGCAGAGCTGCCCTCAATGGTCCAATTCTCCTTAGAGAGAGATATATATATATCAGACATACAAAGGGGATGAGACTTTTTCAATGTCTTATTCCCTGTTCCATCCCCCAACCCGCCAAATGACAAACTGTCATAAACAGGGAAATTGGAAACAAGTTATGCACGTCTTTTTCTTTTCTCTTCTAGATTGTTTCTTCCATCTCTCATTATTTTAAAATATGCTTGAGATGGATTTATAGTATTAATAAGAGGAAAGTTGTTGCTGACATTTTACCTAAATGCATGTTAACCACCAGGTCTCTCCTCTCTATTATTCTCAGGTACAGTGTAAGGCTCTAAACTGGGTCAATCTTTAATATAATTCTTTGGATGATAAGTGATTACCTGCCATAAAAAGATTTCACAGGGACAATTTTGTTTCTCGTTAGTATAAATTCTCAGATACTAAGACATTTCTCTAGCCAAAAGATTTCCCTCAATAGTTACATTCAAAAGGAAAGGTATGTCACCACTATGAGTTCACTAAAGGTGAACACACTTGTAAAAGTCCTTCCTGTATCTTTTAAACTCTGGTATGAATCTTTCGATGGTGAGTGAACGATGAACTGTGGCTGAAGGTCTTTCCACATTCATTGCACTCAAAGGGTTTCTCTCCAGTATGAGTTCTCATGTGCTGAGTTAAAGCAAAGTTGTCACAGAAGGCTTTCTCACATTCTTTGCATTCAAAGGGTTTTTCTCCAGTGTGGATCCTCTTATGCCGAACAAAATTTGCAGGTTGGGTAAAAGCCTTCCCACATTCTCTACAAACATAGGGTTTCTCTCCAGTGTGAATCCTCATGTGTCGAGTGAAGGAAGAGCTATAGTAAAAGGCTTTTGCACATTCTTTGCACTCCAAGGGTTTTTGTCCACTGTGGGTCCTGTTGTGTCGAATAAAAACAGAATGGTGTGTAAAGGCCTTTCCACATTTACTGCACTCATAAGGCTTCTCACCAGTGTGAATCCTCATGTGTTGAATTAAGGAAGAGCTGTCACAAAAGGCCTTCCCACATTCTTTGCACTCAAAGGGCTTCTCTCCGGTATGGGTCCTCTTATGTCGGATGAAAGTGGAGCGATGAGTAAAGGCCTTTCCACATTCACTGCACTCATAGGGTTTCTCTCCAGTGTGAATCCTCATGTGCTGAGTGAAGGATGAGTTGAGGCAAAAGGCTTTTCCACATTCTTTACATAAAAATGGTTTTTCTCCCGTGTGGGTCATATTGTGCTGGATAAATGTGGAGCGGTGCGTGAAGGCCTTTCCACATTTACTGCACTCATAGAGTTTCTTTCCAGTATGAATCCTCATGTGTTGAGCAAATGAGGAACTGTAGTAAAAAGCTTTCCCACATTCTTTGCATAAAAAGGGTTTTTCTCGAGTGTGAGTCATATTATGCTGGATAAAAGAAGAGCGGTGGGTGAATGCTTTGCCACATTCTTTGCACTCATAGGGCTTATCTCCGGTGTGAATACGCTGGTGCTCTGTGAGGTGAAACCTGCGTTTGAAGGCTTTCCCACACTCAATACACTTATATGGCTTTTCCCCAGTATGAAGCCTCATATGTCGAATGACATCAGCCATATAACGACAGGCTTTCCCACACTCATTGCACTCATAGGGCTTCACTCCAGCATGAATCTGTTGATGCCGAACAAGGGCCCACTTCTTGCTAAAGCCTTTCCCACATTCCATGCATGTGTAAGGGTTATTCCTTGCATCAATTATGGGGTCTTTTTCTGGTCGTTGAGAGTCATGTTCATGGACAGCATCTTGTGGAGTGACTCGTTCCTGTAAAACCCTTAAGCCCAGACTATCATCTGGCTCCAAATCGTCATGTTTATAGCTCAACTTCCCAGGGCATATCTCTTTGTGCGGGTTTGTTCCTGGCCTCAAGTTCCCTTCCTGAATTTCTATTAGCTTTTCCTCATCTCTAGCTTGCCCAAACCTGGAATCTCTTGATCTCTGTGCCAGAAATTCCTGGAAAGAGAATTCCTCAGAGAAGGCCAGCTGAGAAACAGTAGGCTCTGTAGTCTTGGGTTTTGCTTTTTCACCTGAAGGAAATCCAATATAAAAAAAAACATTAGTGATGTCAACATAGAACAAACAAAATCACTATTTTAGCAGAAGAATGAAGGTGACAACAGTGTCTCTGATGTCTACTGCATTTTTTTTTTTTTTTGAGTCTCGTTCTGTCGCTCAGGCTCGAGTGCCGTGGCACGATCTTGGCTCACTGCAAGCTCTGCCTCACGGGTTCACACCATTCTCCTGCCTCAGCCTCCAGAGTAGCTGGGACTACAGGCGCCTGCCACCACACCCAGCTAATTTTTTTATTTGTAGTAGAGACGGGGTTTCACCATGTTAGCCAGGATGGTCTCGATCTCCTGACCTTGTGATCCGCCCACCTTGGCCTCCCAAAGTGCTGGGATTACAGGCGTAAGCCACCACACCTGGCCGCCTACTGCATTTTTACATCTCTCAAAACCAGGCTTGCAAATTCTTTCTTAATTCTTGGACTCTTGAGATCTTTAAAAGGAAACCCAAAGGAAAAGCAAGGGCAGAGGACAGAGAATCTGGAATGGAGACAGCTCCTCACTCTCCCAAATGAGGGAGATTGGGCAGACTAATAATTACAATGTGTGTGATGAATGTGCTCTGACAGAGGCAGTCTCATGGCACTATGGCAATGCAGGGAAGGTATACTTAACATGGCCCAGAAGAGAGACAGAGAGGGATCAGAGGATGTCTTGGATCACAGCACCAAGAAAAGGTGCTATGTGAGCTTTCTTTAAAAAGAGGAGTAGGAGTTCCCAGACAGAGGAATTAGGAGGGAAACTTTGGCAGATGAAAACAGAATGTACAAGGGTTGAAAGTCTTGAGAGAATGCTGATTGCTGAATAATGTAAATGGAATGAGATGATGGAGATGAGGATGGAAAGGCAGGCAGAGACAGAGAAGAAACATATTCTCAGGATCCTTGCCTGTAAAAGTGAGGAGGGTGAGAAGCATCTGGATGAACATAATGAGTCCACAATGTCTGAGTAAAGACTAAGTGAACATACACAAAATAGGTAAGATCTACATGAAGAAAATTATAAAACTTAATGCACTAAAGATCTATATGAAAAGAGATTAATCAATATAAAGTTGTCACTTCTCCCTAAATTCACTTCTAAATTCAGTACAACATCAGATAAAATCTCAATAGGGTTTTTCATAGATATTGACAAGCTGACTGTGGATAGAGACCAGTCAGCTAATACAGAGACTAGGATAACTCTGAAGAATAAAGCAGGGGACTTATCCTATGAGGAATTAGTATTATGATGAAACTATATGCATTCAGGCAGTGTGGTTAGGCATAGATATAAGACAAACGGTGAAAGGGAAAAATGAAATGGAGAACTCAGAAATGTATATATGTAACTTTGATATATGATAGAAGCAGCAGAGAAGGCCATTGGGAAAAGGAGGAACCATTCAATAAATGGATTTAGAACAATTATTTGCCACATGGAGAAAAATGAAATAATATTCCTACCTCATACCACATACAGAATTACCTCCAGAGTGATTAAGATCCAACTGTCAGAAGCTAAACATTAAACACAAAATAAAAATGAGTATCTTTTGAGAAAGATTTCTAGAACAAGATATAAAAGCATTAATCATAAATGAAAAATTTGACTACAGTAAATATAATAAACAAAAAAGCAAACAAACAAAAAAGGTAACGTTAGTATCAGATAGCAAAGACCTAAGAAAATGAGACAAAGAGGGGCATCACAAGATAAAGAGAAGACCATGGCACTAGGAAGACAAAATCATCTTAAATCTGTATGCACCAAACACCAGAGCCTCAAAATACATGAACCAAAAACTGAGTTGAAAGGGGAAATAAACTCACAATTATGGTTGGGAACTTCACTCCACCCCAAAATGAAAAATGAACATATTATGCACTGATATTCCACAGAAGATATACATTGACCAATCAACATGTGTTCAACTTTCTTGGTAATGGGGGAAAAACAAATTAGGACCACAATGAGATGCCCCATTTTATACTCACTAGGTTGAAAAAACTAAAGGACCTGACAGCATCAACTATTGAAGAGTATGGTGTTCTATGAAATCGTTCAGATACGGCAAGGGAAGTGAAATGGGTATAACCATTTTAGGAAACAACAGAGCATTATCTAGTAAAATTCTTCTTTTGCTTATCTTATAATCCAGAAATGCCAGTCCAAGGAACTTTACTAAGAGAAACTCCTATAGATGTGTCTGAGGTCACATATATGAATTTATGGCAGCATTGTTTATGAGAACAAAAAACAATAAGCAAACATTTTTAAGCTCTCCCTGAAAATGAATACATTGTGTTATATTCATGCAACTGACTATAGCAGGAAAAAAATGAGTGAACTACAGCTATATGCATCATGAATGTTAGTAACTTACTGTTGAGTAAGAGTGAAAACCCTAGAAGACAATATAAACCACAATACACTTTTTATAATGTTCAAAAAAAGCAAAATACACACACACAAGAATACAATGTAACAACCTTTTATTTTTTTAGAAGGTTTATCAGTTTTAAATGGCATTATAAAAAGATATATAGATATGTTAAATTTATTTTTCTGACTTTTATTGTGATAAAATATAAAATTCACCATTTTGAGATGAAACAATCTTAAAAAGTAATGGGAAGACAAAGATAAAGTGGGCAAATATTTTAAATCACTCAAATTACCAAAACTGACAAGCAAAATCAGAATATCTGAATAGCCTATATTTATGGAAAAAACCTGAATCTTCCTACAGAATAAGCAATGGAATAACAAATCTTAAATTGGCCATGTATGCAAGGGAGGCAGCACAGGAATGGGAAAGGAAAGAAACACATCAACAGATGCAGGAAGCAGGTAATGTTCTTGTACTTGGCGAAAGTTTGTAGGTGTTCATTGCGATCTTTTTAAAGGAGGATGAATAAATAATAAAATGCAATGAAAGAAAATAAAACAAAAAACCAGGACACGCATTGACTAATGACCACAATGTGTCATAAATCACTATTTATCATTTTTCTAATTCTGCACACCTAGGGACAATTATGAAAGTCAGAGGGGGGTCCAGGTGTGGTAGCTCATGCCTGTAATCCCAGCACTTTGGAAGGCCAAGACAGGCGGATCACTGAAGGTCGGGAGTTCGAGACCAGCCTGGCCAACATGGTAAACCTCTTGTAAGAAGAGACACTAGAGAGCTTCCACTGTGTGTGAAGGCACTGAGGGAAGGCCATGTGAGCACAAAGTGAGAAGACAGCTGTCTGCAAGCTGGGAAGAAAAACCTTATCAGAACTCAACCATGCTGGTACCTTGCCCTTAGACTTGCGGCCTCTAGACCTGAGAGAAAATACATTTCTGCTATATAAGCCATGCAGTCTATAGTATTTTATTACAGCAGCCAGAGCAGACTAACATACTTTTCTAAGACTCACTTTCCTCATCTGAAAAACTGGGATGTTCTGTTCCTGCCTACAAGCTGTTAGGAGAAAAAGCATATAAAACATTTGTTTGTGGCTGGGTGTGGGGGCTCACACCTGTAATCCCAGTGCTTTGGGAGGCTGAGGCAGGAAGATCACTTGAGGCCAGGAATTACCAGCCTGGCCAACATAGCAAAACCCCATCTCTACTAAAAATACAAAAAAATCAGCCAAGTGTGGTGGTGTATGCCTGTAATCGCAATTAGGAGGCTGAGGCACAAGAATCACTTGAACCCAAGAGGCAGAGGCTGCAATGAGCTGAGATTGTGCCACTGCACACTAGCCTAGGCGACAGAGTGAGACCCTGTCTGAAAAAAAAACAAAAACCAAACCAAAGTTCATTTGCGTGACAAAGGGTAAATGTTTGGTAAACTGTAGACCACTGTCTATTATCATTATTATAGTTGAATTTAGCAATCAGGATGGCAACAGTGACCTGGGTAAGAACATATTAAGTGCTGTGGTGCTGAGCAACACCACTACCAGGCATCAAGGAATAAAGGGAAAGACACCAACTGCTCAGGCGTATGTGGAACAATGAAGGCTCTCATACATGGCTGGTGGAAATGTGAAATGGTGAGTTACTCTGAAACTGGTGGTTTCGATTAAAGCTAATCTATGCCCACACTTGATCTGGCCAGTCCACTTGTATGTATATTCCCCACAGAAATATGAGTTTATATCCAACAAAAAATAAAATCAAGAATATTCGTAAGAGTAGTCTTCATAATATTCCAAAAATGGAGACCAAATCAAATGTCCATCAATAGGAAAATGGGTCTACGTAGTCTATTCATTCAATGATGGTAATGAACTAACTCCAACGATATGCAACCACATGAATGAATCTGAGTCATAAAGATTATCGAAAGAAGTCAGGACAGAGTATATACTGGAAGGTTCTACGTATATGCCTTCAAAACTAATGTATGGTGATAGAGTGTAAACACTGGCTACTTTTGTAGAAGGGGATACTGACAAAGAATGAGCACAAGGAGCCTGTTAAGTGCTGAAAACACTGTATTTCTTGAACTGTGAGGTGGTTTCTCTGACTTGTACATATATAAAATTTTAAAGAAATGAAACTTTATGATTTGTACACTTATTATGTATAAATTGCACCTCAGTACAAACATAAGGGAAAAAATAAAGGAAGGTCTTGTGTAGATGTCTCTTCAAAGAATGAGAAGACTCCTCCAACAAGCTTGGCTATTCAGGTGAAATAGAGTCAGCAATATTTAGATGCTGCTGGAGACGTAAGAGCATTAAAAAAAAAAGTTTCCCCCAGGTATCAGAAACATCATCATTTTTTTAAATGTTGAGTACAGCGGGGATGAAAATATAGAAGAGGCAGGAAATAAGTGAAGAAGCATGTTCCCTGATGCAGCAGAGAGATTCATGTATGGCTTCTCATGATCCCCAAGTCATGGTGTTCACACCCTTTTGTAGTCCCCCTTTAGAATATTGGCAGGACCTCGATTTGCTTCTAAAGAATAGAATATGGCAAAGATGATGGAATGTGCATGATAAAATATATGTAATTTTATAAGACTGAAGCATCAGTTTTGCTGGAGTCTCACATAGTGGCTTGATTTGAAGAAGTGAGCTGACTGTGATGAGCTATGAGCTGCCTATGACAGTCCTGAGAGGACCTGGCTAAGCTGTGCCCGGACTCCCAATCCATAGGTGGGAGATAATAAATGAGTGATGTTTCCAGCTGCAGGGTTTGTGGTAATATTGTTACATATGAATAGCAGTAGATGGCTAATACACCTGAGAAGGCAGAAAGTGTAATCTAGATTATGCTGGAGAAATTAGCCATGGCTAGGATGAGAACTCTTCCACGGAAGTGAGAAGGAAGTTGCAGGATGAGTCAGATGCACGTGACTCAGTAAGTGTCAAAAAACAAGAAAATCAAGTGTGTAGGCTTTATTCATAAAGTAGGTCAGATGCTCTGACATCAGTGGCAAGGGAGGCGGTGATACATGGAATATGTGAGTGGATGCAGATATAACACACAGGGCTGACCAGAGGCACAGAGCACATGTGGGGAAAACAGTGAGGAATATGGCAGCATTATGCAGGCAAGAGATAATCACTTGGCCTAGAGTACTAATGCTAGAGCTGATGGAACTGGTGAAGGTGAGGGATTCAGGAGACATGGATGATGTAAAGCGGTCAAGATTCGGGGATGGCTGGATATTGGGTATGAGGGAGATGGAGGTATTGAGGGGTTGTCCACGTTTGTTTTTAGCCTTCTCCACTCACTGAAAGGGGCATTAGCTGAAAATGGGGAGATCATGAGGTCCTTTTGAAGCATGATGAGTGTGAGGTGTCTCTGAGACATTCAAGTGAAGATGTGGAACTGGGGAGAGGGGTGAAAGCTGGCTGAGCAGGCAAGAAGGACATTAGAGGGGCGAGATGGTGAATCTGCAGTGTCACAAATCCAGCTGCTTGATGGCTCCAGCTCCCTTTGGCAGCCCAGATGTGGGACTGACAAAGGCAATCATCACCTTGAGGTTTTAGAAGACAGGAGGGCCAGAAAACAATAGGGCTAGGGAGTGCTTCTGGGTATCTGATACACAAATGAAAGGATGGATGGATGGATGGATCAATAAATGACGGGCTGGAGAAGGTGAAAAATGGTGGGATGCAGAGTGTAGTTTGAAATAGTAATCTGCAGGAAAAGAAAGGACTGTCTTCTGAATGCAGAAGAACGTCCGAGCTATCACTATTCCTTATGACTAACACTACATGAATATTACTAACAGGTAACTTCTGTTGAGCCACTCTGGGTCAGGCAGTGTGTTAGGCAGTTTCCTGTTATGCAGTCACATTCCCAAACAACCCAGTCATGCAGAAACTATCATCACTATCTTTCAAATGTAGGCTAAGTTTATCAGATAAGTGTATGTTCACTATACCCATGGGCTCTTCTCCTTGGGCATTAAAAAGCTAAACCACATTTCCCAGCCTGATAAAATGTGTATCCTAATACCTAGTTCTTGTCAATGAAATGTGAATGGAAGTGATGTGTGTGTGCAAGTGGAAGTGACTACTGCCCACCTCTCCCATTCCTCTTGGCCGGGGCAACCTTAAAGCTGCATATTGACAACAGAATGCATGTGATCCCTAAATAAATACAGGTACACGGCTTTCCCGCTGACCCACACTGGACTATGGCATGGATGAAAAAACTAAACTAAACTAAATCTGTTGAGTCGCCAGGATTTTGGAGTTTATTTTTCAGAGAAGGTAAATAACTCAGCCTAACTTATATACCAAAGGCACAGTGACATCACACAACTTCTCCAGAGTCATGAGGCTAGTGAGTGGCAAATCATTAAAGCCTAGAATCTGTCTCCTACTGAGCATATTCCAACCTGAATAAAGGTGAAGAGTGTGTGATGGAGTGGGAAGATGGGGAACCATGGGGTCAAGGGCTCCATGACCACTCAAGACCACAAAATAGCTGCCCATGGCATTTCAGACACAGTGATGCCTGGGTGGTCTGCAAGCTGCCCTGATACTCGCTGCCAGACTCTCAAAGTCACCAACCTGCACAAGTGCTTTGGGAGAGGCCTCTCTTCACTGTCCACAGGTCCTGTCCATGTTCCAGTAGGTAGATCAGCTCTGGTTTGGGAACAGGATGCCCTGTGCATGGAGAAACAACTGGAGTATGGTATATAGGTAAAGACAAAAAGAAAAGTCTGAGGTGGAAAGGAGTATATACATTTAACATACTGCAACGAAACCCCAGAAGGGGCCCTCCCCCGCCTCACCAAAACTATTTCCTAATTAACCTAAGCTAGTAGGATTCAACCACCCTGTGCATCAAAACTACCTAGCAACACCCAGTTCCAAAAACAGAATAAATTAAAACAACTCTCTGAGCAGAAGGACTGAGCACTGGTAGTTTTTAAAGCTCCCCAGGTGATTTTGGTGCCCATGATGGTTGAAAAACACAGGACTAAATCGCCTGATGAATGGCATCTATTGATAGTTGTGTAAGGCAGGCCAGGGACTGAAGCTGAACATGGAGGCCTACTGCCCCACAAGGGTACTGGCCAGGGCCCTAGACTGAGGAGAGAAAGCAGATAGAGAACTGGGTTAGCATGGATTGGCATCGACCAAGCCAGGAGCCAGCAGCACCTCAGGGCTTCTCATCAGGTGAAGTAATAAATTATTTTCAGGGTGAAACTGGCAGGAGGTGGTCTTCTTCCACATGCAGCCACACACATTTTGCCAACTGGGAAGGCTAAAAGACAGAAGACTCTGGAGAGAAGTCAGTGACTGACGCACCAGGACCCAGAAGCATCAACTGGAAAATCTTGTCCTGGCATGCATCCAGCTGTCACTTAGCAAATGTTCACCACAGGATTATGCACACTTCCATGCCACATGCACACTCAGCAAACGTTCTGCCATATGCCTGGCACTGAGCTGGGTGATGAGCAGTGTTAAAGGGGAATCAGGCCTGCCTTCATCTCTGTTAAGGAATCAAGCACCCTGCTCCCACATGGATGCTGCTCATGTTGGTCCCTCCTCCTGGAATGCTGTTCCCCATATATCTCCTTTTCACAGCTAATCACAGTTGTCATAAAATAACACCGCGTTTACTTCATTAATGACTCATCCCTTGTGGGGACGCAGGGCTGGGAGAGCCCAGTGACGGTAACCATTTGAACATCTGAACGAAGCGAGACCTTGGGCCTCCATTAATTTCTACTCAGACCAACTTCTGGGCAAACTGGCTATTAGACGTTTAGGTGGCAAAGCATTTGGTATTTATTAATTTGTTAAATGTAGCAAACACATGTGGAAGTTATTTTGTTTCCAGCTCTATTCTAAGCACTTTACGGGTATTAGTTAACTTGCTGTGACAGGTTACTATAAAAATGGCAAAATCAAAACGGTATCAGGTCCCAGCAAGTTCCTGCTGCCTGCTCGAGGCTGGGAGTTTGAGGCTACTCTTTCTACTGAGGAAGAAATTCACCAACAGCTACCGGAGTGTTAAAGATTCAGCCCTAAGCCAACACTCAACATTCAAGAGGCAGGAAAGAGAAAAGAAACAAAGAACAGCTTTCTCAGATAGCATACACCCATGCCATTTGAGAATGTGTCTATGCCCCCTTTACATAATCATCTGTAGCAGCAGAGGAGCAAGGCACAGGCCTTAGGAAGTAAGGGTTACCTGTGCAGGTGCCAGGGGCCAAATAGACTTTTCAGCTGAGACTGTGTTGCTGAGAAAGATACCAGCAGCACTGATAACAAGCACCTTCTTAGTACCTGTGTCAATCACCCGCTGCTTGCAGAACTTCCCATTATCCACAGGTCCTGCTAACTGGGCTGTGAGGACATTTGACTCAACCAAGCTGGGCCAATTACCTTTTGTGGCAGTCTGGGATAAGCATATCAGACTGAGGCCAGCTGTGTTAGACAGCGGGATGAAAGTGTTGAGGAGGACTATGTTCCTTACACAACAATCTTTGACGGAGACGAAAGGAAACCCAGCAAGAGGAGGTCAGACCACAACGTGCGGAGGCTGCAGGGATCAGGGAAGGGTGTGTCCTGAGGCTTCCGGACCAGCCAGGCCTAGAAAGGGTGGATTCAAAGAGGCTGTGGGTCCCCGACATGGGAAGGTAATGAGGTCTTACCCAGTGAGACTAGGAGCCTGCAGGTCTCCAGCATCACCTCCTGGTACAGGGTCCTCTGGGCCAGGTCCAGGTGCCCCCATTCCTCTCCAGTGAAGGTCACAACCACGTCTTCAAATGATACTAATGCCTGGGAAGTCAAACAGAGGTGACAGGTGGCTGTGGAGCTATTAGGTGAAATTACAGCCCATTTCTTGGTTACTGGCAAAGGGTCCAGAGGCCCTGAATCACTGAGCAACTCCTGAGAAGCACTGAGCTCTGTGGAGGAAGATGGTGCCGCTGACAGAATACAAAGATGTGGGAGAGAAAAGCCTCCTAGGTTGGAAACCACTGGAAAATGATACAAGACAATGATAATCCCATATGACTGTGAAGAGCAGACAGTAACATCCTAGGATGTTAGAAGAATGGGGAAAAATAAGAATTCAAACAATAATCACAGCAGCAGTAGCTGAGCCTCACTGGTCTGCACCATTTGCCTGCACCCGAGGGCTTTACATGCTGTGTTCAAGCAACTAAATGTCTCCAGGTCTGGAATCAGGCTCCTGAAGTTTAGATCCAGCCTCTTGAACCAACCCATGCCAGATGTGTGACCTTGGAGAAGTCTCTTAATTTCTTGGAGCCCCAGTTTCCACATCAATACATTAATAGTTCCCACTTCAACAGACTGTTGTGAGAATTAATGAGAAAACATTCATAAAGCAAACATGGCAGTGCCCAGCACGTGTTACAATGTGTTTGTCAATTTCAGTAATCATCCTATAGCCCATGATGTAAATGCCATCATCATCTCCATTTCACAATCAGCAAATTGAGGCTCAGAGTCAAGTCACTCAGAGGTGTATGTCTAATAAGCAGAAGCAGGATTTGAAGCCACATCTCTCAGGTCCAGGATCTATGAGTGTGACCCCTGTACTCCTCCATCACCACAGTGAATCCACAGTGACAAGTGCTAAAAATATTTCCTATAATTTTTACAATTAAAACAATTTCAGCCACTCCTGAAAATGCTTCCATAGATATGGAAGGAAGAGCAGAGCCTTTCTTTGCCTCATAGAAGAGGTACCTGAAGAGGTGCCAACTGCCTAGGGCTTAGGAGGGCTCAAACAAGGTTTCCCTGCCTTCAGGCAGCTGGGGCTTGCAGACTCCCTGGAATATCCCACAATGAGCAGCAACCTGTTCTTTTTCTTCCTGAGCCACGATTAGCACATTTCCCTTAGGTACCAGGTAACACAAGTGGCCAAGGGCAATGCAGGCTGTGGCTCTAAGAACCTGGGCAGTTGCCTTAAGCCCCTTGTCTGTCCTGGGTGAGACTGGGATGTTGGCACGATGATCATGAGATGATCACACAAAATACATGTCAGCAGGTGACAAGCCCTGGTGTCATTCTACGTCTCCTCATGCCTCTGACTTTGTCCATACAGTTCCCCTTGCCAGAAAGGTTCCCCTAAGACCCCTTCATTCCAATGCCCACCTACTAGAGAGAGGCCTGCACCTTCCCCTTGCAAAGTGTACTTTAGCTGTCGCCCCAAGGGATCTCCAATTCACTGTGGGTGAAATATTGGTTAAAAATGTAAGCTTATGGCTGGGCATGTTGACTCATGCCAGTAAGTACTTTGAGAGGCCAAAGTGGGAGGATTGTTTGAGTTCAGGAATTCGAGGCCAGCCTGGGCAACACAGTGAGCCCCTGTCTCCACAAAAAATTAAAAAATTAGCTGGGTGTGGTGGCACACACCGATAATCCTAGCTACTCAGGAGGCTTAGTGGGGAGGATTGCTAGTGAGCTGTGATGGGGCCACTGCACTCCAGCCTAAGCAACAGAGCTAGACCCTCTTTCAAAAAATAAATAAATAAATAAATAATGTAGGCCTTTGTGCTCGACATACTGGATTGTTTCTGTTACTTGTGACCTATGCAACCTTGGGTAGTTGATCTGAGTCTCCGGTTCCTCTTCTGTAAAGAAAGGAAAATGAAAGAATTTTACTCTGAGAAGAAGGGCATTAAAGATAATACGCAGAAACTGCCTCTCAGCACATTATCAGTGTGCTCAGTGAAGACCAGCTATTATTTGTTGCTGTTAGTATTTTTCCTATTTGCTCCGGTAGCACCCTAGGAGAGATCAATGCAGCACACATCCAGGAGAAGGCTTGCAGAGATCTGGGAACAATGTGACAGGGAAAATTGTCCAATGAGCTTGGCATGTGCAGGAGAGAAGAATGGGAGGGGAAGTGTCCTGGTGGACTGGGCAGTGACTCTGCAGCCATGGTGGGGTGTGGGGTGGGGTTGGGTTAGATTAAATCTAAGTAGGATGGGAGCCCCAGAGGGTAGAATCTCATTCATTAATCACTTATCGACTAAGTGGTACAGGCCCAGAACAGAACAGTTTTGGGGCTGGGGATGGAAAACAGAAGCTCACATTCCGGGGTTAGGGGACAGATCCTCAGCAATAAACAATCAAGATAAAGTCAGAAGACTCTAGAAAACAACACAAGAGTGAGAAGACCACAAAGACTGGGAGTGACTTTACATGATGAAACCAGGGAAGCTCTCTCTGAAGAGACCCTGGAACAAGGTTAGATTGAGGTTAGAGAACAGGCCAGGTGAGGAAAAATGAATAGACAACTCCTGAAGGTGATCAGAGTTATGAGGAGTAAACAGTGTGACATGCTGGAGAGTAACTTGGGGCCTGTTATGTGCTCACATTCCAAGAGACACACATTCACGTACACTGTCATTAATGAATATTGAACTGGATTTGCTTTTTAAATACAAGAGCATGTGTTAAACAGGAGCACGGATTCACTGCTGTTAGGCGTCATGCCAGATTCATTTGTAACAAACAAGGCATCCACAAAGACAAATCCAATGAGCTTCTTGCCTTCTAGCCTCCTGCCAAAAATGCTGCTCCCGCCTCACCTCTTGCCCTCGAGGCTCTCATTCCCTCTCCTAGCTTTTGGTAGGGCCAGACTTCCGCTGGAATGATTCCCTAAAACAACAGCAAGACCTGGGAAGTCCTTCCTCAAAGACGGCACCTAGAGTGATGCTCTCCGAGCACTGAAAGGGGACCACGTCACAAGCGTACCAGCTCCAGTTCCCTCCACAGAGAAAATTATTGAGATTCGCATTTTAGACCCGAGGGAATGGAGGCCGAGGGCAGCGAGGCGACAGCTCAAAGTTAGAGCCAGAAACAGGGACCTCTCCTTCCAACTCCTGTCCTGGATTCAGGACCCTAGGTAGGAAGTGATTACACCTGCCCTCTCACTTCACCCTCTCCCGGGATCTCCATATACTAGGGCATCAAAAGCGAGAAGCGCAGAGTCCCGAAATCCCCCGTATTACAGAGGATGGGTGCGTGCGGGCGGTGACTCCAGCGCGCGCGGGCTGCGGAACCCTCCACTCACCAACGCCGGCGCCGCCATAGGCCCAGGGGGCGGGGTGAGGCCGTGAGAGTCGGCGAAGAAGCCGGTCCTGCTGGCTCGGCCGACCCCGGGCTCCGGCTCTGGTCTGCGAGGGACCTCAGTCCTCGCCGCCGTGTGAAATGCGCACAAGGTTCGCGGCGCCGCCTCTGCGCGCCGTGGGGACACAGGGCTGGCGCCAAGGCCCCAGGAAGCGTTTTGCAGACGCTTGTGGGGGTGAGATCGCGGCTGACATAAAAGCGTGTAAGTGGGTCCTATCCTCCTCACTGTCCGTCTCTACTTGGTCTCGAAAAGTGACCCCTGTCTGGCATTGTGGCCGGTGTAGCGTCGGTAACAACAGCATCTTCAACCTAACGGCGTCCAAAGACTCGACGCCGGAAGTCCCGCCCACGCCGCTACGGGAAACGCCCCTCTGCGCTTTCCGTCTATGGCTTGGGGCCGGCTTCCGTCCCTTGTAGCACTGCCTTCTGGGTAATGTAGTTTGACAGAATCCGAGTGGTACCTGGAGCGCAGTCTGTTCTCGGTGACGCGGCTTCTCAAGGTTCCCAAGAAAGGGATTGGCTTCACCTCCTCGTAAAGGATAGGTACACAGATTTCCGTGGAAATCATCTGGAAATTATCTGAGGCAATGACCCACTCTCATTGGGTAGCCCTGCTCTGCAGAGGTAGTCACAGAGCTGTAACACTGCCTTTTCAATAAACCTGTTTTTGGCCGGGCGCGGTGGCTCAAGCCTGTAATCCCAGCACTTTGGGAGGCCGAGACGGGCGGATCATGAGATAAGGAGATGGAGACCATCCTGGCTAACACGGTGAAACCCCGTCTCTACTAAAATACAAAAAAAATTAGCCGGGCGAGGTGGCGGGCGCCTGTACTCCCAGCTACTTGGGAGGCTGAGGCAGGAGAATGGCGTGAACCCGGGAGGCGGGGCTTGCAGTGAGCTGAGATCCGGCCACTTCACTCCAGCCTGGGCAACAGAGCCAGACTCTGTCTCAAAAAATAAAAATAAATAAATAAATAAATAAATAAAGCTGTTTTCTTCTACCACCGGCTTGCCCTTGAATCCTTTCCTGGGTGAAGCCAAGAACCTTCACAGGCTGAGCCCCACTTTGGGACTCACCTGTCCTGCATCAGTTTTATATTTTATACTTCAGTCTGTGATCCACTTTGAGTTAACTTTTGTAAAAGATATTAGGTCTAGGTGGGGGTTGTTTTGTTTGGTAGAATAGGACGAATGTGTAAATATAATAATTACAAACAGCTATAAATTATCCTACTAATAATCTGAGGAATTTGGTTAGTTGTGATTTCCTGTTTTGCAATCATTTATTAGAATCACAGGAATGGCAGTGAATTAATCAATAGAAACAACGTCTGCCTTGCTAATTAGGTTATACAACTCCAGAACTTTTTTTTTTTTTTTTTTTTTTAGTTTTTGAAGAGATGAGGATCTCGTTGTGTTGTCCAGGCTGGTTTCGAACTTCCAGCCTTAAGCAATCCTCCTGCCTTGGCCTCCCTAACTGCTGGGATAACAGGTGTGAGCCACCGTGCCCAGCCTAGACCTTTTCCCATATTCACTACACTCATGAGAACTTTTATCCGAGTGAACTCTCTGATGTTTACTGAGGTTGGGGCTTTGGATAATTTCTCATATTTGCTGTACTCATAAGGTTTTTCTGTGGTGTGAACTCTTTGGTGTTGAAAGAGATCAGAGTAGTAGCTGTCAAATTTAACCACTGCTCCAGATGGAAAGTCAGGATCTCCAACTCACATCTCTTAGGAGATGCACTCATAAGACCTTTCTCCACTGTGGATTTGCTGATGTTGAATAAATCTCACTTGCTGTTGAAAGGGTTTAATTTTCTCTCAGACTTTTCTTTAGTGTGAACTCAGATGCATATTGAGAGTAGAGGCTTGTCTAAAGAATTCCCCATATTCTCTACACCCATAAGGCCTTTCCCCAGTGTGGACTCTCTGGTGCTATACAACTGTGAAATTGTGGCTGAAGGCATTTCCAAGTTGACTGTATTGGTAATGCCTTTGCACAATGAGAAAGGCCGCTGCACATGGTATGCTCTTGTGTGGCTCCCCCATTCTAGGAGTGACCTGATGCTGGAGAAAGCCTGCTGTGGCTAGAAAGTCCCCATCCTCCCTGCGTGGGAAAGGCTCTTCTGATGTGTGGTTGCTTCGAGTCTTCACAAGCAAGGTCCTCCCCTACTCCTTTCTGATGGACTTCTCTATATTCTCTGCACCTGTTGCTGGGGAAGGTTTACACTCACTCAGAATCTTCTCCACATACCACATGTGTATGATGATTTCTGCCCTGGGTGTGTTACTTGGTATCCAGCCAGGTGCAAAGTGTCTTTCAAGAGTAGACCACATGGCCAGGTGCAGTGGCTTATGCCTGTAATTCCAGCACTTTGGGAGGCTGAGGTGGGAGAATTACTTCAGGCCAGGAGTTTGAGACTAGTCTGGGCAACATGGTGAGACCCTGTCTCTAAAAAAAATTTTTTTAAATAAGCTAGGTGTGGTGGTGTGCACTTGTAGTCTCAGCTACTTGGGAGGCTGAGGTGGGAGGATTGCTTGAGCCCAAGAGGTTGAGGCTGCAGCTGTACCAGTGTACTCCAGCCTTGGTGACAGACTGACACCCTGTGCAAGAAAGAGAAGAGAAGAGAAGAAATTAAGGAAGGAAAGAAGGAAGGAGAGGGACAGAAAGAAAGAAAGAAAGAAAGAGAGAGAGAGAGAGAAAGAAAGAAAGAGAAAGAAAGAAAAAGAAAGGAAGGAAGGAGAAAAAAACACAGGGAAAAAGAAAAGAAAAAAGAAAAAGAGGAAGGAAGGGGAAAGAAGGAAGGGAGAGAAAGAGAAAGAAAGAAAAATAAAGAAAAGAAAAAAGAAAGAAAGGAAAGAAGGAAATGAAAGAAAAGAGAGAAAGAGAAACGAAGGAAGGGAGAGAAAGAAAGAAAGAGAAAGGAAGGAAGGAAACGAAAGAAAAGACAGAAAGAGACAGGCAGAAAGAAGGAAAGAGAAAGAAAGAAAAGAAAGAGAAAGAAAGAAAGAAAAAGAGAAGGAAGGAAGGAGAAAAAGAAAAAATAAAACCACACACATGGCAGGTGTAGGTTCTGGGTGAAAGGACTTGCCTGGGATTCTTGACACGTGACACTTTCTCAACATTATGGTCAGAGAGAGAGCTCTTCCTTACCTTCCAATCCATGCCAAAAAGCTGAAAGCAATGAAATGCTGGTACAATTCTTGTTAGCTTTAGTGGGAGAAAACAGCCCCATCACAAAGTCTGACCCAGGAATGAGCCTGTGGAATTGTCAGTAAGACAAAAGTGCTGAGGAAGCGGGAGGAAGCATCTGCTGGGCAGTAGTAAGACTCTCAAGGTGACAGAATAGAGGAGGCTTTAACAGTGCCACGATCTTGCCAGAGCCAAGAATACCAGGATGCAGTGCAGACGTGATAGAGGCAGGGTCTCCAGCTCACTTCTCCATAAGCACCCTCCAGCAGGGCTTTGGCTGCTGGTAAAACATGAGCCCTAAAGGTGTGTCCAGGCCCAAGAAAAATGCAACTGCACCTGAGTTGCTGGTGTTGAGGGACTGTTAATGGAAACGCACATCTCACAACCCATGAATTGTAGGCCAGTGTTGGAGAGCACTCCAGAGTGAGCAGTGGAGAGGGTGAGACGTGGAGACCAGGATGTGGGGGGCATCCTGGGGCCCAGTGTCAGAATAGAAATGACAAGTGGATAAAGTTTCAAGAATGGGGAAGGAGTGATATGGATGAGGTATGGCCATTAGCTTTGGAACCCAAACAATGGTGAACAGGGACAGGTTACTGATAATGTGAACCTAGTCCTGATGTCACACTCTCCTCTTCCTACTTCCCAAGGCCAAGACCCCTCTAACCACCTCTTGTCATGGTTGTCACGGTGTCTGCTCTGTTCAGGCACCCAGGCCTATTCCTCCATCTCCAGTTGGGCAACTAAATGGTTGAGGCCACAGGTTCCGCATCCATGGATTCGACTAACTGTGGATTAAAAATACTTGGAAAAAAATGGTTGCCTTTGTACTAAATAAGCATAGGCCTTTTTTTCTTATTATTCCCTGAACAATACAGCAGCACAACTATTTACACAGCACTTACATTGTCCTGGGTATTGTAAGGAAGCTAGAGATGAGTTAAAATATATGGGAGGAGTCAATGTGTAGGCTATATGCAAATTCTATGGCACTTTATATTAGGGACTTGAGCATCTGTGGATGCGGTATCTGTGCAGGATCCTGGAACCAATGCCCCATGGATCCCAAAGGGCGACTGTGTATGATTTCTCCTCCACACTCAATACTCTCACCTCCTCTTTTATGTGACAATCCCATCCAGTCACTGTCCCCATCTCAATGTTAGAATTTTGGTTCATATCCTAACCTAAGATCTGAAGGCTATGAACAAAATGGTAAGTTATTTGTCACCACTCACTCCCAAAATATAATTGTGACAAACAGGATACCAAGTGAAAGACCCTAGACAAAAAGCCATGCACACCATGTGAATCCATACATGTAACCTTCAAGAAGAGGCCAATCCAATGTATGGGGAAGGAAATCAGAACAGTGATGCCTTTTGGGGGAACTGACTGGGAGATGCAGAGGGAACCTGCTAGGGATTGGGAATGCCTGATAGCTTGATCTAGTGGAAGTTACTATAAGTGGGGACACAGATTAAATATGAATTGAAATGAACACTTAGGACTGAACATTTTGCTGAGGTATGCCTTATGGTATACCTCAAATTAACAAGCATATTAAAACAATAAGTCATGCTCAAAAATGTTATTGTTCTCTTTGGGCAGCAGCTTCCTAGAGGGAAGCCAATTGGGTCTAGAGTCAGCAGCTTTGGGGAAAAGTCCACACTTTACCAGGGATGTTGTGAGGACTATCAGTGGAGCAGGGAGAGTGCCTGGAACAGGGCCTGGCACAGGGTCAGTGCTCAGGGGACGTTGGCTGTGACCATTCGTATAAACTGCTATTCTTTAAGTTGACATGCATTTTGTTTACTTAAATTGATTTCTTCATAAAGGGAATCTTGTATTACTTATAAAAGAAAAAACTAGTTTCAGTTTTCACAAATCAGTTTCCATCAAAATACAACATTGAAATAAAAAGAGTGCTGTAAGTTCTGGTAAGCTTATGTGGCCTACCTTGTGCATCTGATGTAGGTGAACCTCAAAATTGGGGCTCAGCCCAGGAGGGTTCTTGGTTTTGCTCTGGAAAGAATTCAAGAGCAAGCTGACAGAGCAAAGTGAAAGCAAGTTTATTGGGGCCACAGAGGGCAGGAAAATGGCTGCTCCGTAGTAGAGTAGTAACAGGAGCCCAAGTGGATCACTGGCTAGCTATATTTACGGCTATTCCTGCATTGTATGCTAAATAAGAGCTGGGTTATTCACGAGTTTTCTGAAAAAGGGATGGAGGTTCCAGTAACTGAGGGTTCCTCCCTTTTTAAAATCATATGTATTAGTCAGTTTTCACGCTGCAGATAAAGACATATCCAAGACCAGGCAATTTAGAAAAGAAAGAGGCTTATTGGACTTACAGTTCCACATGACTGGGGAGGCCTCACAATCATGGCAGAAGGCAAGGAG